GCAGGAGAGAGTGGCTTCAGTCACTGCTCATCATCACTTCAGTATACTACACTTCAAGCTGAATATCTCACAAACACTTCCCTCTGATAGTCCCACTTGGCCCGTTTTACCGGAATCGCTCAAACTTTTTTTTATTGCATCCTCTGAGTTTATATTGTTGTTGCACTTTAATTTTGATCAGTAATTATGATCATAAAGTTTGCGGATCGGTCTGAGTTCCTTTGGATGACAACACAGGAGACATCTGTGTGCCCGCAATGTACGGCCCATGGAGCTGCTCTCCCTGTGGTTGCTGCTAGTGGAAAACCCATAATGGCCTTTAATTGGGACTTTAATTGTGTGTGGTGGAGCAAAAGCATTGACTACAAAACTGGTGGTATTTGAGTGCATACATGCGTCTTTTGTGTAAGTATATGTGTCGCTCACCAAATCCTCTTCCTCTCTTGGCCTGTGAATGGCTTCAGAGCAGCTAGTATCGCGTCAAATCATATATTTCATGATGTACATTATATCAGCATTGCTTTGCCTACAGGAGGAGATGGTATTCAAGATCTACAAGGACACACATACACTGGCAGTTGTGTTGACACAAAGATGCTTTTGGCATCAGCCATTTTAAAAGGAATCCATCCAAATAGCTCTATGTTGACTCCATTCATTCATGCCCTTTGGATATGTCTAACAGCATCAGCAAATCAATGGGAAGCATTTTGACAAGGGGCGACTGCTAATGACGAGCTGCAAGGGATTTTTCAGCTGAAAATTATCCTCATGACAGAATGACCATTGGAGAGATTGCAATTTCTCACTCAGAACATGAACAGCTGCAGTAAATATTCTGGCATCATTACAGAGGCTCTCTTAATATGTCTTATCATCACCCTGTATGTGTCGTCAACACGCCTGCTATCCAACATAGACTATTTATTTTATTTGTTTATTTGGATCCCCATTAGTTGATGCCAAGGCAGCAACTACTCTTCCTGGGGTCCATGTACAAAAATGTCCAAACTACAAAATTAAAAACATGCAATGCAATACAACAACAAAAAACTACGCAAGATCACATCACCATCCCCACCCCACCCATATACACATTTATATACATATAATTTATATAGATACACACACACACACGCCTACACATAAGTATTAAAACCATTAATAGCCAGTTATACAATATTCACTCGAAGCAACCCATTTTTTAAGACATTTTTTGAACCTTACTTTGTTAGGGATTTTTTTTAGTGAATCGGGTAGTGAGTTCCACTGAGTGGAGGCTCTGTAAAAAACAGTTTTCTGGATTGCACTGGTTTTGGGTGTTGGAACTACTACGTGACGTTGTGTTGCTTGTCTTGTGGTACAAGTGTGTCTGTCATTGATATACAAAATCTTAGCATGAAATTCCTTAGGCCTTAGACTAGATAGCATGTCAGAGAGAAACACCAAGGGAGAGAATGGATGTCGGGGAACAGTAGTATAAATGGGATGGAGAAAAGGGTGGCGGGGCATGTGTTGGAACACACATAGATGCAGCAAAAGAACAAGAGCAGGAGTGCAGAGGGGAGGAGGAAGACGAGAGATGAAACAGGACGGGTTGTGCTCATCATGGTTATACTGGCACCAGCGGAAACACTTGGATGAGATGGAAAACAAGACGCCATCTTGTGTTCCATTCATGTCTGCAGCGCCTTGGCCTGTGTTCCCTATACATACACACACTCACGTTTATACACTTCACACAAATACACACTGGCAGAACGAGGCAGGAGCTTGTGGTTCCAGTCCAGTGACAGCGGCCTGTAGTCAGAGTGGCGACGCTTCAGGAGTAGCTCCTCGTACTGGAGAAGCATGTTTGTGTTGGCACTGAATTAATAACTTTTCATTTAGTGCGGAAATGACAGGAATAGTAATTAAGGAAATGGAATGATTTTATTGGCCATGATGTTTATATTAAGTTCCAGATGTGAAGCAGCTGCTTGCACAGCAAGAGGCCCTGCCCCCCATGTGCTATCTAGAGGAACTCTTATTAAGAGCAAGATAACAGTGGCAGTTAAATGAATGTCTGTGTGTACAAAAACATAGTATCTCATTCACAGCATGTAGCAAACTGAACTAATATCATGTCCAGTTTGATTAATGGTTATGAAGGACCACGAGGTCTGCTGTGTATTTATAAATGTGCCCCTAAAGTGCAATTTATTTGCAGATATAATGTTACTCTATTTCAGGCCTGATTTGCCTGACTGGAAAAGTTAATATTGAGGAGTGGCTGTTCAGCATTTTTGGGTGGCCTCAGCGCATGTGAGATCCACGTCGTACTGCACTTAATTTTGGTATCCCTTAAATGGCAATGACAGCATTGCATATCCTTACAGTGTCTGTCACAAAGCCAGTCTACATTTCAGATATAGATCAAACCAATCTCTACTGTAACATATGAAGTTGTTGTCAGGCCCATGACAAGCACTGGCACAGGACTGACGACTCCTTTTCCTTTGCCTTAACCACATGGAAACTGTTGTCATAATATGAACCTAAACTTACAGTAATTCACACATACTGTAAATACTGATGTTCCTGTATTGTGCAAATATTTTATATGCTAATGATTAATATCAACAATAATATAAATTCCCTGCAGCAGCTCCCCAAACACTGTTTAATTATTTGAATCCTCATTAAATGTTGCTAAAGTGGAAGCTACTTTACTGTCCCTTTGGGTTTATACATGATATGAACTTTAAAAATGAAGCTACAATTGTAACTTCACAAGTTCTTGCCAAACACTTCCTCGTCCAAGCCAAACATGTTGGAGCCTCCAGCACAGTGAGTGAATGCACCCTGAGGAGAGTTTGGTTAACATATGAGAACACTTGAGAACTGTAAAGGATGTGTGGACGACATTAACAAAGAGATTAACAGCTATTGAAGACAAAGAACACACCCATACGGCATAATGTAAACTCTCACGCTCATTTTGTCTTGATGTCTGGAAATTTAAAAGTCATACACACAACTTTATTCCTGTTGTTTTGCAACTGTTCTGCACACCATCATAATTTTGCTTCATTCTGTTTTTCCCCCCGTTACTTTACTGTTTCTCTCTCTTCATTTGAGAGTCATTTATTATGAAGATGTTTTCTTTTTTTTGCATGGCAATAGTAAAACCCTGCCCATTACTGTAGCCGATGATGTTTTGTTCTGTTGTGATGTGCTCCCATCTGGTTTCCAGTGAAAATGCATCACTCCATTAACATTGCCTGTGATCTAGAGGATGCTTTAATCTAAGACTATAAACTCCACTTAATTACATCCTCCAAAAGGGTTCTATTAGTATAATGCAATCAAACAGGGAGCACATCCATTTTGGCAAATCAAACATGTTCAAATGACTCCTGAAAGTGTTTACTTTCGTCTTCGGTTCAGAATCATATTTTGGAGGTCCCAGGTTATGTCCCAAGGCCCTGATTGATACTCACTTCTTTTTGTGGGTAAAAATAATATGCTAATGCATATGAGAATCCATCTCTCTGCAGCAAAAACAACCATAACAATTGAGTTTAGGGGAGTTTGAACAGACTCTCTGTGTGGCACACTGATGACTTTATGCTTGACCTTTCATGCCTGTCACTGTATAACCTCCAGTCATATTCATAATTGCTGTCTGTGTGCGTCGTTCTAGTTTCCACTAGTCTAGCAGTATTTTTGCTAAGAATTTAAACTTCAAAAGGAAGCAGCATGGCCTAGTTTAAATTATACACAAAGACATTACTGTAAAATACAAGATGCCTGGCAGTCACGTTTGCCACGGTGCCATGATAAACAGATCTTACATTACAGCAAATTATTAAAGTTAGCGTTTTTTATGGTGATGTAACAGGTTTGACATTGAATTTATGTCTAATATCTTGACTCCGATAAATATAAACTGCTGCAGGGTTTCCAATTTTCAGATAGCTCCAGACAAGACTTTCTAAACATCAGCTGCTGTTCTGTGTCTAATTCTGGAAAGTCTGATTAAAATAAGATCAATTTTATGTGGTAAATTACAAAATACCATCTGTTCAACAAGGAAAAGCCTCCAGCTCTTTTAGAGAGGGATGATGTAAAAACCTCCTTCACATGACAGAATTTGCAGAAAGGTTCATCATGACTGGGGAGGCCATGGGTGTGCTTAGTTAAACCAGTAAATTTCATGTTTGTGATAGACTAATGTAGATAAACCACTGTTGCCTCTTTGGTACTATTATGGGAGGTTCTCCATTTTAATTTATAAATCTTAAATGGATTATGTTCATCTTCTGAAAAAGCTGAAACATTCAAATTGTTGTCTTACTTCACATAAGTTAAAAGTGTAGCTTGCTATGTATGTATGTATGTATGTATGTATGTATGTAGTGATACTTCTTCTTTATCCACTAAATCAGTTTTCCTCTAAATTTTCTAAAGGAGGTTATGTAAAAGCTCAACTTGTTTATCTGGTACAAAATAAAATGATTTTACATGTAGGTTTTGTCTTTATCTGGTAAAAATAAAACATTTGTATATAATTTTTATTGGATAAAAAAATGAAATATTTATATATTTAGGGTTGTTTTTTAAGTAAAAATATCTATCTATCTATCTAGATAAATTAAGATTTTGTCTATTTTGTTATATTTCGCTTATGTCTTATATCAGGAAGAATATGATGCAAATAAATGAAAATGATAGGGATGTATTTTTAAAAGTAAAAGAGGAAAAATATTGGAGCAAAAACGTTAGGTGATCTTACTGTGTTTAAAATAGTCTGTATTTAAAAAAAATCCACAAAGGTTGTACAAATAAGTTTTTGTTGTTGTGTATATCAGTTTGCTTTGCGGAAAACTGTTTCAAATGAATCTATTCAGTCAAGTTTTGAGAAAGATACTGACCTCTCTCCTACACCATCTTACTATGAGAAAAAAAACAGCAAAATCTTTATGTTCTTCGTAATATCCGGTATTAACGTCACACTTCCTGTCTTCTTCCTCCGTGTAACAGTAGCGCAGCAATGGCGTCCTGTAGTGAGGTTAGTAGTTTCTCCTTTTAAATGTCAGATTACCCACTTCTTTTCATGTTGTGGCAGATTATAGTTTATTAATATACTTACATGGATATCGATGTATAATATTGCAAGGAGAGACTCTGTTTCTGTTTGAAACTAGTTGTTTACTATCTCGTGTTGTTGTGCTAAGCTAACCGATGTTAGCGAGTGCTAACGCTAGCCTTTCTCTTCCATTCACTGTCGACTTCTGCGTGGTATTTATATTGTCTGGAACAGACTACACTTCCCCACAGAACAGTCTCGTTTTATTTTGTACTATCCAAAGATAGTGGTGACGTTGTCGTTATTTTCAGGAGTCTGCTACAGCCCCTGAAGAGGAACAGACTGAAACACTTGCATCCCAGAAAAGAGAAGCGAGACTTCGGAAATTTAGAGAGTTGCATTTCAAACGGGTGAGTTGTTTACCTTTACCTGGTTAAAGCACATTATCGTTATAGAGACAAGATTTTCTCTCCGAGAGTTCCTCTAAGCTGTTTGCTCTGCGGCAGTACCAAACTGAACTGACTGTCAGTTTTTAAAAACACCTCTACCAATAAGAAATAAACATGTTTAGGTAACGTTACACACTGTCCTAAGTCTTGAGCTGCTTGGATGGGCATTTCAAATGGATCCCACTTGCATATAGCTGCTTGTAAAACATTTTTTCGTGTGTTATTTCCAACTGCAGAATGAAGCCCGTAAGCTTAATCACCAGGAGGTCGTGGAGGAGGACAAGAGACTGAAACTCCCTGCTAACTGGGAGGCTAAGAAAGCCAGACTGGAGTGGGAGCTTGCTGAAGATGAAAAGAAAAAGGTATTCAAGTCTCATATTTACAAACCCCATAGTATTCTGCTCACTCAGTAATGTCACTGACCGGAATGTCAAAATGTATGGTGAAATGAAGCACAGATAAGACAGGGTTGCAGTGTTAACATCTAATGGACAGCTCTTAAAGTCATCTGTTTATATATGTGTCAGATGGCATATCTCTCTCCACATTGACATACTTGTGGTGACGCCAAAGTAAAATTACTGTTTTTGCCAACAGAGTCTAGTGGCTTTGATAAAAACATAGATGGGGAACTGATGCCCTTAATGGCCCTCCCATTGGAAATCAATGTCTGCAGCAAAACAAAGTGGTGAAAATATTCTCAATATAGCATACACTGAAACTGCAAGTGATTTTCTTTAGGTGACTAAAATATGGTTTGCTGCTGCCCCACACTCAAAGCAGTACATTGCTTAGCTTGTGTTGTAGTACTCCCATTTGCTTTTCCAAACTGGGGGCGCGCTGACTAACGTGCTGTACATGATTCACTGACTGTGGATAACTACCTTTTACAGTCCCACTTTTAAAGATCCAAATTATCTCCTTAATCACTGTGCAAAATATTTTGTTCACATTTTGTTTACTTTAATCCACAGGTGGAGGACCACTACTTGTTTGACTTCTCCTTAAATGCCTGATTTTCCAGTACATGGCTCTCTGGTTTCTGCATCGCCATTTACATGCATACATTAAGAACATAGACTTTATACTGGTGCTTCCTCTAAGAGAATAATAATGGTTCACCTGGTGCCTCATGGACAACCAAAAAACCTCCACCAGTAAAATTTCAAATATTGCCACAAACTCAAGCTAGGGCTCTTTACTCATGGAATGTCAGAAAACAAAGATTCATGTTATATATTAATACTTGGCTTTCAGGAATGTGCAGCCAGAGGGGAGGACTATCACAGAGTCAAACTGCTTGAAATCACTGCTGATGATGCAGAGCGGTGGGAGAGGAAGAAGAAGAAGAAGAATCCAGACACAGGATTTGCAGGTTGGTGGCAGGATTTCCAGTTAAGACAGACAGTTTGCAGTGAACTCTGTTGTTGCACTTGTTTCCTAGAGCATGAGACATGTCAAAGTTTGAATGAATTCACTGGTAAGTAACTCTTGTCAGAGTTGTCAGTCTGGTCAGTGTTAGTTTTTCTTTGTTCATTTGTTTTTTAAATTTATCTTCTAAATATTAAATCACAGGTGTACTGTTGTCAGATGAACCTGACCAAGGCTGCATTTAGGCTGACTTGAGCCCTTGTGTGAAAAAAATGTAGTTTATTTATTCATTTAAATGGATCCAGTCTACAGACGTAGCAGGGATGCCAACGCACAGGGCTCCAGCAAAAAAAGTTGAACCTTGCTTATCTTCTAGCAAAGCGCTGTGTTGGCCAATCAAATACACACAAGTGCACTTTCCTGGCAGATTGCTCTGTAATATGAACGGTGTGTTTTACTGTTAACTTTTTGATCGTCGTGATGAATGATGAAAAAGTTGGCGCTCTGATTAAGTTGTACAATCCTGTGTGAGTTTGGGCGTCTGATATGCTTAAAATGGACTTCCTGGATAGGCCTGTCACGATTCCTACTTTTGTTGAACAATATTTTTTTCCAGAAATAATTGCGTTAAATGAAATTGTTGTCATTTTAAGACCATTTAATGCCACTGATATAATGATAATGTGACAATCCTATAGTAATCCATGCACACCCTTTCAGAGAGCAACTTTCAACTTTTAATTCTTGAGAAAATTCAGACACACTCCTGATGCAAAGAGCGCGCGAGCTCTACCAAAAATGACAGCTAAAACTTGTCCCGGCATTGTTTTTCTGTTTATTCAGCTTCAACACTGCGAAAAATTCTTATGTGATGCGCCCCAGTCTTACTGTGGTCAGGAAAACTCCCCTCTCACGTAACCAAACATACATGCAAACACAGGGGCGATATCGTCGATATGTGGACATGAACTTAAGAATTTTTCTGACCTTGGTAAGTTGATAACAATTATTGTGACAGGTCTATTCCTGAATCATATTTCATGTCTCCCTGGTAACTTAAACACCACATGTTTGGAGTATAATGACACAGTCATTCTGCATTTAAAGGTCCAGTGTTAAGGATTTAGGGGCATCTGTTAGCAGCAATTGTATGCAATATTAATTTTGTTTTAATTAGTTAATAAATCTAAAACTAGGAATCACTGTGTTTTCATTGTCTTAGAATGAGCTGTTTATATCTACATACAGAGTCCACTGTTGTTCTACGGTAGCCCAGAACAGACAAATCAAACATAGGCTCTACATAGGTCCGTTCACGTTTTTGCATTGGCTGCCGTAGTTTTCTTACACGTTTGGCACATGGGAGAAGTTTCCTTTAAAATTATTTTGTGTTTTGGCTTTTCAGCCAACTTGTGTCAGTGTGAGGAACCAAAAGGATGCCATCTTTTGATGACTCAACAGATGCTTGATGCCAGCCTCATGTTTACCTTACAAGCTAAAAGCTCAAAGCACAGACTAAAGACTGCTGTCTTACTTAGCTTTACTTTTGAAAAGAAATCGAAACTAATCATACCTTTCTCCATCAGTTAAAAGGACATGTCTGTCCCTTTGACAATATGATCAAGGTTGGCATTTATGGTCACTCACTTATTGTATTGATTCTCCACTTTTAAAGTTGTGTCATGAAGTACCATGGAAGCAACTTGCCATTGGATCAAACTGCTATATTTTTGGCATGTGTGACGTGTCACACCACAGAACCTCAGTCTGTTAATTTAGTGATTTGTAATTTTACACAGTTCACGCTTGAGGAAACAAGTGGTACAACGTGCTTCTGGTCTACTGTTCTGTTCTGCTGTATCTGGCATGTGACCTTCTTCTTTACCACACAGGGAAATGTTGCTGCCTAAATTCTACATAGCAGCAGTGTATCGAGCAATACTGGTTGCATGTAAGGTCCCCTTGGGATGTTAATCATCTCAAACTGCTCCCAATTTAATGTCCTGAGAAAAAAAAGAGTTGCCGTGTCTCCTAAATATGGCTACCATCTGTTGCATCAAAACCTCCTCTGAATTAAAACCTCTGGGGAGAAAATTATCACCAGAGCGGCTTCAAGAGAGGAGAGAGAGGAGAGTTGTCTCTTCACCCCCCCTTAACCAGCCGCAGGTTGTGTTGCTGAGCCTCGTGCCTGCTTGCTGTTTGTTCCGGTAATTATAACTCAGTCAATTTCTATTTCTCTCCGTCTCACACAATGAACTGCAGGTTACGCCGAGGCCCAATTTCGACAGTACCAGAGGCTCACCAAGCAAATCAGACCAGACATGGAAAGCTATGAGAAGCAGAGGGAAGAATGGTGAGTTAAGCTTTCTTTTGCTGTGACAGTGCTGTATCTGTGTCTATTAATACGTTATCCATATAGACAGACAGCTCACCATGGGAACAAATATGACATTACTAGATTTTTTTGCAAACAGGGCCATAAAAATGATGACATGAGGACGTCTCTGCTATTAAGACCGTAACTGTGAAATTTCTAGTCAAGTAAAATGAATTGTAACATTTTGCTTTGCGTAATCATCTAAGAATCCACCCATCACATGTGCACAAAGCATTTTCTATATGTTAAGTTATGCGCCCCCCCATTTGCCTTGGGGTTAGTGTTGACATTACCCCTGAAGTAATTCTAAGATTTAAAAGTGCATTTCATGCACGCAAAGATCGAAGAAGAACTGGTGCCTGCAGGTTTTTCCCCCTTATAAACTGATCTTCATGCAGAACTGTGAAGGATGCACACACACTTGTATTCCCTTATTATATCCTCTCATTAGGATGACCATGATCACAATGATGGAATAGAAAGGTTCAGTTTTTATATATGTTAAAACTGTGATTATCTATAGTTATGCTTTTCTAATTCCTTTGCTGGTGCTCCACAGTGGTGAGGACTTCCACCCCACCTCCAATAGCCTGATCCACGGCACCCATGTCCCCTCTAAGGAGGGCATTGACCGCATGGTGGAAGACGTTGAAAAACAGTAAGTCACACTCAAAAGCAGATGCTTAAAGGGAGATGCCATATCCTCTCCTGACCTGCCATTAATTTCATCAAATTCTTAGCTTGCCCGTGACCTGACTCAATGGGCAGCCGACTCAGATGAACCATCGTACTTACCAACTGTTGTTTGATTTCTGCTTTCTGTGGTTTCTGCCAGTGAGAAATAACTAGAAGCACTCGACAGGACCAACAAACTGAACAATAATGATGGAAAATATGAAAAAATAATGAACAGTACAAAAGGCAGGTCATTAGTCATGTAAAATATTTCTCAATAGATTTCCCCCTGTGATGTTATTTAAAAACAGGTTTGGGTCTAACCTTGCTAAGTATGATCGGCTTAAGCAATTCTAACAACCCTAGAGGTTTATTTTTTTCATGTATCTCAGAAAGACAGTGAGTTCATTCAGACCTTTTTCCGGCCCTGGTATACCACAAACGTAGTGTGGAGTCTGGAAATATGAGACTATCTCAGTTGCAGTAAATTTGCGGATGGATTGAGTTTGTGACCTTTGTGCCAATTTGAAAGAGGGGGATGTTTTGTGTGAACTGGGGCCTGTCTGATCATCAGAAATCAGCCCTGGAGTGGAAATCCTGGTGCGAGCAGCTGATGGGAGGCAGTTTATTATGAGCTCTCTGCACAAGGTAATGAGGGGTGGCAACTTACCTAAGTGGTCTACATTAAAGGGACCTATTAGGAGTTTTCCTATTGTCTGTCATATATTTAATGTTACAATGTCGGATGTTCATAATAAACATGCCCAAAGTTGCAAAACAATGACGTTAACATATGAAAAAGTAATCTCTGTGAGCCATACCTCAAGCTGCAGACCATTCTAAATACTCTTTGTAACATTTTCCCTACTTTGGCTACAAGCTGATGTAAGATCATGAAGGATATATTTATGTGGATAATTGCTCCAGGTACACTACTGCAACTGCTTACATTACGTAGCCTACATTGCTACATGATGCTACATGCTAATGTCAGGGAAACATGTAAACTTTGTCGACGTTAATTTTTCCCGATTTCTGATCGGCTGTCTGCTGGAACATGTCTGGTTGTGTGTAGAAGCTTTTATCAGAGATTTTTGATCGTATAAAGTGCTGCTATACTCAGGTAGACTCATTCTGCGGCTGCAATAAAGGTGCAGAAACACTGAAATGCATAAGACATGGAAATGCTGACGAGTCGGAGCAGACAAGAGGGTGAATACAAGTGTTTGAGCATACAGTATGATGATAATAAAGTGTTGTTTAAACTTTAAAGGATGTAAACATGATTTAGTACAGGGGTCAGGAACATGTGGCTCTTTAGCCCCTCTACAGTGGCTCCTTGTGGCCACGTTTATATTAATATAAATATGTGTCATACACTTACAGCTTGGTGCCTTTTCTCTAAATCTTGTCAGACTTCAGTTTGGAGTTAGTCTTGAGTTTAACCAGGCTAGCTGCAGATTCCAAATCCAAAAAAATAAAAGTCTTGGAGGAAAGTAGAGAATTTTACAGTTCGTGGACAGATTTGTTTGCTTTCAACATCAACCCTGCAAAGTTAAAGTACCAAACAATCATAAAAAGCCCACTCGAGAGTAGCTACCTGGTGGTAAAACATGTTCATGAATTTTCATTTTGACCTATAAGTAGTGTTCATAGTTTTTTTTTAGTGGCTCTTTTGATAGTAAAGGCTGCTTACCCCAGTTCTAGTAGAAACCTAAAATACAAGTATAGGTCTGAAAATGAGCATAATAGATCATCTTAAAACAGAATATAGTCAGGACACAGCTTCTGGTCAGACCATGCCAGACTATATACGTGACCTTATGTCAAACAAGTGGGTGTGGGTAGATGGTTTGGTAAACCTTTATAAAAACTACAATTAAGTCAGAACACAGGGATCACAGTACCATCGGCACCCCTCAAATTTAACTAAGTGCTGCTTCAAAGACTTTAGCTCTTCCACTGGGTCTTTTAAGTTTTTGTTTTTGCTACAGAAGTCCCTTTCACCTTTGATTACCCTGGTCTTTCCCTGAGCTGTTCTATATTTGAGACAGTCTAGGGCTTGTGTTAGGGATGCGACTGTGGGGCATTAGACAAGGATTCAGTTGCCAGCTTGTGACGCACAACAATGCTTTGAAGACACAGTGAATCAAGACTGGGAGCTCACAAATTGACAGTATTTTCCTCTGAGTATGTATGTAATGTGTGTGTTAGGTTTTCCATTGCCACTCTCCTTGCCAAATTTAAATGCACACCCCAGATTATTGCCTGTAGCCAATTATTGTTATTGGATACGCCATGGATAGTGGCCATGCTGGTTTATGAAATCCTCTCTAAGCTGCTTTTATTTGTCATCCTCAGGATAGAGAAGCGGGCCAAGTACAGCCGACGCAGAGCCTACAACGACGATGCAGACATCGACTACATCAACGAGAGGAACGCCAAGTTCAACAAGAAGGCAGAGCGTTTCTACGGCAAATACACAGCAGAGATCAAACAGAACTTGGAGAGAGGCACAGCTGTCTAGTAGGTCCAGTCACAGTTTTGTCTTCATTAAGGAGACTTTGGTGCATCTTGTTCTTGTCAAGACTTGCTGCATACATAGAATACAAATGCTAAAATGGACTCTGTAATTTGAGGGTGTTGTGTAACATTTTTATATCATGCTGAGGTTATTTTGAGCTGAAAGATGATTCAGTTATCTGTAAAATACATGATGTGTGGTGTTCCTTTGTACAGTATTAGAAGTTAAAACAACTGTTATGATTATCGCGTCCTTTATTTTTAAATAAACCACTTCCAGTTATCTTACGCACTTGTTTGTTTTTCTGTGGCTTTTCTGTGTGTGGTCTCATGATGTAGTCATTTTGAGCGTGAGAATGAACTACCATCAAACCTCGGGGCATATTTAGTCCAAGATGCCAGCCAAAAGAATGTTTCAGTGGAGGTACACATAGAGATAAGGGCCAACAACTGAGCAATTCAATTTAGTCATTATCATCTACATCTCAGTCTAACTAACTCGCCCCAAGCTGCGACATGAGCAGGAAAACCTTGTGACTGGAGAGGAGATAAAAGACAACAGGTTCTCATGCAAGTCTCCCACTCCTCAACTCCTGTCTGCGAGCAGGGCATTGCACCCTCTTCAGGCGGTCTGTGCCATCATACCAGCACTGAACTGAATCAAACTTGTGTATATAAATTACTACAGTTAGATTTAATCTGGATGAATCAATCCTCCTCAGACAAAAAATGATGGGATGCCCCCAAATGATCACTTTCAAAGACGCCATGACGCAAGTTGTTTATGTCTTACTGGTGAAGGGTAGGTGAGGGCTTCAAATAATGTCTTTGATATCTGACTCTGCTGTAGAGCTGTTAGGGAGTGGATTAAGTGTTGAGGTTCATGATTGTGATATTTTTGTAGTCTTATCTGATTAGCCCGAGGATGTTGGCCAGGAATCTTATGAGGAACAACAGTGCATAAATTCACTGTTGTGTCTCACAGATAATTTGACACCTTTGATTCTTTCAAGGCCAACTGCCACTTAAAGCGTTCCCTGTAAAGCAAAATGGGTTTGATTTAAGCCTCGTAAACATGGGGAAATTACTGGATAAATAACAATGAGTGTTGATGACTGAGTTTTTCCATAGACACAAAAGCCTGGAAGTGAATAAATTGCACCAGTTCTTATTTTTTAAAAAACAATAAGCAACACATAAGTCATATGAGGATAATAACATTACAAGACTAACCTGTCTGTCTTCTCTTTGTCTGATAAAACTTCAGACTACTGTGACCTGTTTGTGTGCTAATCAATGATCTTGTTGTATATCAAGTAAACTGCCTGCTCCCTGCTCCAGTATCCCCTTTGCCCCACTAAGTCTCACTGTGTTATGTATTTGCATGTCTTATCTTCTACTACAGTAATTAATCACAACTACAGGTCTGTTTACAGCAGGAGACACGCAGTCTGGCTGTCAAGACATAATCAAAACTGTGTGATTTTACCTTTTTATTACAACAGATTGTGACATGTATCTTAATATCACCCTTGAAATCTTGGGAGCATTAAATTTATTACTCACTTAATAGATATTTTACCCAATAGATAGGTTACCTCCTGGCAGTGATACACTAGTATCTTTAACATGTGCCAATGCTTTAGGGTAAGTAGCAGCCACAACAGCAGGATATATCAAGTCACTCAAGAAGGAACATGTCCAGATCATGTGGGGCATAAAGATGACCTGTTCTGTGAGTGTGGCTGTGATTTTTGGATAGTGACTGGTACATTTCAACAGGTGTTACTCACAGTAGAGGTAGTAGGAAAAGCACAGGTGTTACTGACTATGGCTTTCTGTTCATGTGTCTCAGTGAGCACACATTATAGACTATAGCAGGACTCTAAATCTTAACAGAATTCAGCCATCATCAAGTTCGTTATTTAAAAGTTTTGCTTTTCCTACTTTGCATAAATGTCTTCCATGAAAAAAGCACTGCAGATCACAAGGATCCTTGTTGCACTACTGTGGAATTGTTTGAATCTTTTTTTTTTTTTTTTTTTAAACAAATCAGTACTGAAAGATGAGTACTTGAATAACTTGGAATCATTTTTATGTACCTTCAGAGCCACTGCACCAACTAACCTGATATGCAGAATGCATTGGCGTTTTGTATTCATTCACATTTTCTAATCAAACAAGTCAGAGATTGTGGCGGTGATTCAGCGGTATGGAATCAGGCTACTCCATCAGCCACAGTCTTTTAAAGATCTCATAATAAAAACATCACCCATAACAAAAACAGTCACAGACAAAACATCTGAAAATAAGATAATACTGACACCATGTGGTCATCATAAAAATTGCAGCTAACTTTAATCCACTGATTAGCTCTCTGGCTGCAACCTTGACAAGGCAAAGTGGCTTCAGAAAACTAGGACACAAATCCTGTGTATCATCTGGTTGTCTTTTCGAAACTCTGTTTACCTGTTTGTATATACACTCACTACTTTGACTATTCATTCCCAGGCTATTGTGATAAAAGTCCTTCTTGAATACTTTTTTTTTTTTTAATAAACTGCATCATAAAGATACTGGCACAATGCTGGCATATCCCACTGTATTCTAGCATAAATATTTGTCATACATTCAGCAGCACAGCATGGCTTATGTACCCAATATTAATTTATCCCACTGGAATATCTAACTGCACCATAACTTACTCTAGTAACTGAGAAGTAAAGAACATTCCTGTATGGCTTTATGAAACTGGTGACAACTGGTCAACCTAATTCCTCTACATGCATGACTTTAGTCAGTGTTGAAACCTCGCTCCCAATTCAAGCTTTTTTCTCAACAATTCATTGTTTTGTGACTTATTACAAAAAACACAGTTTTTATCAAATAAATATCTTTATTGAATCACAATATACAACTGCAAAAAAATAATCCCACCTGAGCGGATTCTTCACTTCTTCCAACTTAACTCTTTTACATCTGAAAGAAAACGCCAGCCGAAAAATTATGAAACATATGTACAAAATATTTAAAGTGTCCATGCACTCTGCCACACTACTGTGAAGTGGCGAGTGCGTGTTTGCGTGCGTTGGATTGGCCTGATTTGACTCGAACCCAGTGGCCATAGGGCTTCCTGCTTTCATAGCTGTCCATTCTAGACGTTACCTTAGCAGAAGATGGAGCTGCCACTGATGGTTTGACCACAGAATTCTAATGGGACAGGGTGAGAAGAGAAAAGATATAAGAACATATTAATTTATGCTCAGGGTAATGTCAAGCAGTGTTTCGTTTTAATCGTTTGGAAAAACAGAGAGCTGCTGCAATTTCAGCCACTTACATTAATGCTGAAAGAGATGATTTTCCTTTTTGGAGACATCTTTGGACTGGACATGTCGTCAGGCTCCACCTCACTGCTCTGTTTCAAAAAGACAAGAAAGACATGCTTAGTTAGATGTGTGTACGCTGATGGTAGAGTGAGTTTTGACAGGTTAAGTTTCCACTGCTAATATTGTAAAGCACTTCTACTGTATATTTAATTATTTAAGTGTTAGCTTCAACACTTAACACCCTCCCCCCCATCCCCATGCTGTCAAAGGCTTGGCTCAACCATTAAATGAATCCTACAAGCACAGACCTTTAAACACAATAAATCAATAAAATGCAAACAACAAATCTCAGAGTAAAAAGGATGTCTTCTCTGTCTACAGTGGCGATGATGGTGACGTAGGTTTCCCAGCCCTCAGCACACAGCTGGTGAACCAACTTATCTTTGGCATACGGAGAGGAGTTCTTCATCTGTTTTTAGCTCTCTTGACAGGGATAGTCACTATTATTCGGTCCACACGCCTGTGCTCCATCAGCGAGTGGAGGATTCTGCTAAATAACAACGACCCATTTCAACTGCAAGCATAAATACATTTTAAGTGTAAAAATTGTACTGCCTATCTATCCATGTGAAGTAGAGTTAGTGCAATAGAATATCTGAATTGCTTGTGCATCATCTATGAATCTATGTGTATAATTAGCATTTGTATGATGTGTATGCATGTGTTTGTTAAGGAAATCTTATTTGTGTTTGTTAAACTGCAAACCTCTAGTTGATAAACTTACACATTGTGAACTTTATAAGAGTTATCAGATAACCTTTCACGCAAACACATATTGTTGTCACCCAAGTCACATGACAGCCCTTTAATCCCAGGTGCCGATGAGTGAAGGAGACCACTGTCATGTTATCTATGAAGACAGGAATAAATACAGAGAGCATGTGTATTCCCTCAGGGGTCCAAAGATTAACACAAGACACAGGAAATTCAACACAACATAGACCTCAAGATAATCAGTTAATATCTGTGGACATTGCACTCTGCTTTATATACTTTATCTTTGCTGACAGTTTGATAAAATGGTGATGCCTAGGATCAGATTACATTGTACAGTTATAAAAAAAATAATAATTCATCCTGTGCAGCCATTGACCCGTGAGTGCATTATCCTTCTGGTAAAATGTTATTAATGATCAGTGCACTATTATGCACAAGTGCAAAGAAAAACTTTTGGCTATCCGTAACATTCTCAACATTCTTACCTCGTATTTATATGTAGTCCAAGCTGAGAGGAAAAAAAACGTCTATACCTTTAATAAGAATCTGTGACAAGGCCTTATTTTTACTGTGGTATTTTGTTCAATGTGAAGCTGACATTTACTCTCAGACACCCACCTGTGATGGAGTCTTTTCAGGGTCTTCTTGTCTCACCCATGTCTCTGGCAAAACCTGTTTGGACTCCTCTGACTGCTCTGGCAGGATTGGTTTCACACTCTCAGGAAGTTTCAACTTCTCCACTCCTAGAATCGTCGCAGCATTGGCCACTGCTGCTTTAAGGAGTTCTCTTTTGTCTAGGGAATACAGATAAAGTTTTAATTAAACATTTTTTGTGCAAGGTAATATTTTTGCCAACTTCAAAATCTGCCTCTCTGGGAAGTAGCTACAAACACCCAGAATAATGACTATTCCCTCATATTATCTAAACAACTTACCATCCAAAGTCAAGTTGATGGAATGCCCTGAAGGTCCGGACCTTGAGTCACTTCTATATGTTTTATGTGGGGAAACCCGACTTGAAGCCCTCCTGTACCGGCTCCAACGGCTGGAAGACCTGGAGCGGGACCTGTAGCGTCTGTTGCGAGAGTACCTGTCTGGTGAGGGCGTGCGGCTGAAAGAACGAGAGCGGGCCCTGTAGCGTCGTGGTGGAGATCTGCGGCCACGGCCATATCTGTGATGGTTCTCACAGCGACAGCGTGAGAAAGGTCTGTGGCAACGAGGGTGAGAGCGGGACCTGCCGCGAGAGGAGGACCTGCTGCGAGAAGAGGACCTGCTGCTGGATGAAGATGATGATGACCTGTAACGTCCCCTGTTGTAACCACGTCCCCTGTAGTGATCTGAGCCATGGGAGCGACCTGAGCCATGGGAGCGTCTGCTGTCACAGCTGCTGCTGGATCTGGATCTGGAGCGAGTTGAAACGGGGCTTTTCTCATCAAAGATGACGTTAATGCCATCACTTTGGCGAGCATGGGCCATGTCAGAGTGGGAGTCTTCTCTCTTGGCCATTGTTTTGTTTTCTGCCACAAGCTGTAATGAGACGTACAGAGATATGTATAAACACTTGTAAAGAGATAACATTTAATGGTGATGAATCAGTAAACCTTGAGTGACCTGGCCCCTTTGTAGTCAATGTAGCAAAAATTGCGTAATTAGATCTTAATGTGATAAGGTACCTTGATAATATCAGCTTCAGTCTGTGTACGAGTCTATGACTACTGTTGTACAACACTTGTTCTCTCAGTGCTGCCTGGAGCGGCAAAGCGGCGTAGTTGCAATGGCCGCCTGGAGAGGACTGGAAATTTCCGGAGTGACGCAAGCTAAAGCTAGTTTGAGCTAACAGCTAGCTTGAACTGCTAGCTTGAGCTAAGAGCTGTTATCCCTCCGAAAGACATAAAATCCAACTTCTTCCCTTTTAATTAAAAAACATTTAACATAAACCTTACATAACATGGACAACATATATACAGTTATAAAAGCCGACTAATTGCAACCGTTTGCACGTAACTCTAGTGTGGCGAAAACAACGTTAGCTCTGCTAGCCGCCATTGTATGTCTTACCTTGGCGAGTGTAGCTTGAAACCTTTTGTTCCGATAACGTTGATATAATCGATGGATGTCGCCTTCAAATATGGTATAACGAGATGATAATTTTGCAATATAACTCAACAGGGCTTAAATATGTTGGTTTAAAGCCAAACGTGCGATATTTGTCTTCCCAAAGAAGTTGATCCGTCTGCCGTCGTCACGCGAATGAAGGCGAAGCTGGTTGAGTAACAGTCCAAGGCAGAAGCCTCTGGAAATTTCCAGTCACGTGTTCATCCAAATTACGTGATCCCTTTGATCGACTCACTGTGTAAACGGCTCTGTGTAGTACTAACGAAAGGAGTCGATTCACTTTGGGCGAAAGAAAAGATGTTGTTTTTAACTTCTACAATATGCTTTCACCAAAAGTGACAATGCCGCATGTGCCCTTTTTTATCTGACATTATTTCAACTTGATAGACTAAAGAAGCAGAAGCATCAGCTCGTTCAGGTTTAGACCCTGATTAAATTCAGAGGTCCAATTCAGTTCAATTCATACTTTATTAAAGACACATCTCAAGGAGAGGTCCATAGCACCACAAGAGCAAGACAAACAACATACACAATTTTTTTTAAAAAAAAAAACACAATAAAATAGTGATGTACAGAAAATAAAATATAAGAGTCACACACAAGTGTACAGGCATGATCGCCAGAGACTCCGCATCTTAGATGTGAACCTGACTGAGCTGAGTGCAGGGTCAATTAGACATGAAATAATACAATTTAATGAGTTAGATACTCTACATGTGAATCAGATTCCGTATCACTGCAGCACAGATAGGGACCCCAACACTAGCAAACATATGACTTGCACTGCAGCTTCTTGGAGCCTTAAGCAGCAACCTCATACAATCATTGTAAGCCACAGTGAGTCTCTGCATGCTGCTTTTCTTGTACCGACACCACAGGTGGGCAGTATAAAGAGAAGTACAGAATGCTTTAAACAGACAAATCTTTATATCCACTGAGCACATGCTGAATTTGCGCAACAGCATGTTTGCTTGAACATACATTTTTCGACATTGTCTATGAATATCCTTGTCATCGGAGAGATCATTTGTCATGTAGTGACCGAGATATTTCACCTCATCACACTCTGTGAGGGCTGAGTCTGACAGAAAAAAATCAGGAAAGATTGATTGTCTGTCTTCCCTACTGCGGACAATCATCACATTGCTTTTCTTTGCATTATACTTAATGTCAAATTCAGTACCATACTGTGAACATATCCTCAGCAGGTGCTGGAGACCAGCACTTTATGGACAAAAGATAACAAGATCATCAGTATACATTAAGTGATTGATGAGAGTATCTCCTACCATGCATCCTGTGCCACAATTATTTAACTGGACAGAAAGGTCCTCCATATAGATGTTAAACAGGACTGGTGATAAAATCCCCCCCTGCCGAACACCATTGGTTACATGGAATGGGGCAGATATAGAGTTTCCCCACTTTACTCTCATAGTCTGTTTCGCATACCAGCACACCAGGATTCTAACTAGGTATCCAGGAACACCTCTCTGACACAGTTTATTAAATAACTTTTCATGGTCTATGGTTTATGCGATCAAATGCTTTTGATGCATCAAATAATAACCAATAATTTGCAGAAGTGTTTGGATCCACACTGTCAAAAGTGGGAAGTGAAAATAGGGTAAAGTGCAGAATGCAGTGATTGCAAAAAAAAATAAAATAAATAAATAAAAGCTAAAAACCAAACCATAAGCAAGTTATTATTATTATTGTTACTATCATTATTATTATCAGTAGTAGTAGTAGCAGTAGTAGTATAAAGGGGAAAGATTTTAATGGTACACCGTTGAAATATAACCTCGTCAGACACGAGATCTCGCGATATTTTATGTAACCTCGACTCTGTTTATTTTGTAACTTCCTGCGTCTTCACTTGCCTCCCGCTACATATTCGCTTACCGTGTAGTTTGATTTGCACGCCTCCGTGTTCTGAAAATTTGAAACGCGGGCTGACCGAGCAAAGATGGACATCCTGACTGTACTGCCGTCCAGCTTTGGATATGCCATATTTACCTACCTCTATAGCTGGATCATGCTGGGGTATTTAGCAGTCAAGGTTGGGGCTGCCAGGAAGAAATACGACGTGAAGGTAGTTAAAATTTGACTTTTAGTGGAACATAATGGCAACTAATTAAAGAAAAGTCAATGCTGGATATGTGTAATTGCATTGGATCGTTTTTAATGTGTGTTTGTAGGTATTTATATAATGTTTAATCTTCATTTTTCTTTGCAGTACCCCACTATGTACAGTGACAAGGAGCAGGTGTTCAACTGTATCCAGAGAGCACATCAGAACACTCTAGAAGTGTACCCTCAGTGGCTTGTTTTCCAGACCATTGCAGCTCTTGTCTACCCGGTATGTATCATTTTTACACACCTAAACATACATAGCCACAAATTACTTTGTGTGTGTTTTCTATATTCTTATGTCATACTAGTAGGGCAACTATATCAGGTGTGTGGGAAGGGCAAGCAACTGTCATGATCTTTGGCATGGATTCTCCAGATAACAAAGTAGTCAAGCAGAAAGACAGTGTCATAGTGACAAAGCATTTTTTCATCACCCCTGTAGTTTACAGATGTTTGTAATTCTTTTTTTCTTTGTTTCCAATCATAGTTATCAGCATCTGTGCTGGGGGCAATCTGGGTGACCAGCAGGTTTTCTTATGCCTGGGGCTACTATACAGGAGGTAAGTCTTTGTGTTAATGTAATGTGGAAGGATTTATTTAATGGCAAAAGCACCTAAACTCAGTTTGCCCACTCTTTCTTGACATAATGCATTTAAAATACAGATGTCAATGTTATTTTTATGTATGTGTTGATTGCAATATAGCACATAGTCCAAAGTTTTATCGAGGCCCTTAAGGAATAAAACACAATCTACCACTGCACTGCTAATAAGGTAGGCAATAAAATTACTCCAATACTGAGCGGTGTAATTTCATCCTGTCATTCTTGTAAGAGATTTAACTGGCCATAAGTCATTTTTAATTTCCTGAAAATAATACTCATAATATTATAGCATTAGCAGTGTAAAGGCTGCAGTCCAGGTGTTGCAGAGGTTACAGTACAGTGATTGCTAGACCACTTTTGTCACTCTTCATCTAGTTTTGTTCAATCATTTACAGAAGATAGCATTGAGCAAATGGTAGTAAAAAAATAAAACATGCATCAGTGGGGTCTAACTCATTGTAATTGCTTAAGTTAAATGGTTTCAAACAAGACATTAAATGTGTAATCTGCAAAATAGTAGGTGTGAATTCTAAAATCAGACCAAAAGGGTGAATCCCTATGAACAATGTTAGCATTTATTTTATTGTATTGTGTGAATTGTATTAGTTGATATCTCATATAGTTCTGTTTTGGTGAAATCTGTTTCATGTTTTATTCCAGATCCAGCCAAGAGGATGAATGGGGCCTATGGCTACATTGGATACTTTGGCGTCATCATTCTGTCCATATCTGTAGCCTTGCAATTGCTTGGAGTCTTTTAAGACAATTGTCATCTTGTTTAGTCATTAGCCTGGCTTTGCATGGCATTTTTGAAATTTGTAAACTATAAAGTAGCTGTACAATTCTTTATATACTAATTTCAAATCATGATGATCAACATATTTTTAGGGACCACTAACTTTATATCTTTCAATTACAGTTTTTGTTGTGAATGTCTTCTCAATGTGATCACTGAAAATAAAGTAGATGCTGACTGAGCCCCAGATATGTTGTCTGAAGTAATCTTTTCACAGTTGCAGGAATAACAGTCTGTGAATAATGAAAGGCCCCCATGTGACTCACACATGATGTGTGAGGCACAGATCTCCCCCTAGAGTATAAAGCAAATGGCTTCAGGAACATTTACAGGTCATTTTCACAAATAATAATAAATCTTAGAAAATCTTATTTTTGGTTATTTCAGAAGAAACAACTTTCTAACATGAAGGTTAGATTTTACCTCTTTTGTGTCAATAAATAGCAAGTTTTAAACAATTTTTAGCTGCTCTGCACCCACACATTGAACTACAAATTAAGCAGTCAAACACAAATTGGCCTATATACAAGTAACTAAAATACATGTAAATCCCTTGTTTATCATTGTCTCTTTCATATATATGTATTTTTTCATTAGTCAGTTTTTATTGTAATCGCATTTAAGTATTTATTGTTTGTATTATTGCTTATATGTTAAATTAGTTACAAAGGAAGTTGTGTATTATTTTCAGGATGGAGGCCAGCATGTGTTGCAGTCTGCAAGAGGTTCACAAATAAATGTGAAAGTCCCTACAAAAGGCTCATCCACGGCGTTACGTTCACGAACTAGTACTAAGCTCGTACTTCCAGAATAAAAACCATAAGTAACTTGTGTGCAGCAATTTTCTTTGGAAATGACTAAGAAAATTCCTACGGTGTCGGCTTTGTATAGTTTGGTGATTGTTTGTAACATAGGTAGCACATATTTTCAGTGTTTGTTTTACTGCGCTGTTGTATAACACTGAAGAAAGTGCGCATGTAGTACATTGTTCAATATTTCACCATTGCTATTAAGAAATAGTTATACGGTAATCCTACCCACTACCATGCGCTCATTTATTGGTCACATCTTTTCCCTAATCCAAGTCATTTAACGTAGATTATACGATTTTTGGTTGGTTCATTTCATGTTTTTAATATTGCACAAATTCCCATTTTCTCCACCAAACGTGAAGGCACCAATAGCAGCAGCGTCTTTTAGGCTTCCTCATCAAATGGGTGTGTAGGAACTGCGCATGTGCACGACCGAGCTCTATCGGAAGCAAAGTCGGGCTTATCCGGGGGGTTCACATCAAAAACCGAAAATAAAAGGTAAGAATCCCTTTGAAAATGTCACAAGAACCCAGTATTGCTGTTGGGGTGTGTGTTTTAGCTCGACATTACCGCTGTCGTTTGAGTTGTGCTCTTATTTCTACCAACTTCGTAGCTAGGAGAAACCTTCAAGGAAATGTTTGCTAGTGCCAAAGCGATGAACAAAAGGAACCGACGACACAGCCCTGTTTTTAGCTAACGTTACTGCATGAACACACACACGTTATGGATTTACAACTATAAAGTAGATACCTCGACAGCCTTGTTGTCGAACAGATGTAACCGAGCTTTATTGTAAAAATAGTTGGTGATCGTTGGTGCTTGGTATATAAGCTAGGGAGTTAAGCATCATCCCTACTGCACAGCGATTGCGCACAAACATATACAAAACATTTATAGTTGATCTCAGTTATGGTATTAGTTTTGGGTGAGATTGAATGTGATACTTAAATGTGGTGTATATTTGTGATGTCGACATGGCTGGTTATTCCTATTAAGTTATTTAATGTTGATTTCACTTCTGCATTGTTGGACACAACGCCTTCTCCCAGAGTCATGTCAGGTTTTCTGGACGGTATCCGGTGCGGAGACTGCGAGTGCAATGTGGACTGGGGAGAAAGAAGAAACACCATCGCATCTGTAGCTGCTGGAGTTCTGGTATTTCGTTGTTTTCCTAATTAATAGCAGGTAGACTGTAGCTACAGAGTCCCCCACTGTAGCTACAGTCTACCTCCCCTATAGATGCTACTCTGACTTGTTCCCCTGATTTATGTCTGCCTTTAGGTACTCATGATAAGTGTAAGCAGAGCTGTGGATTCCTTTGTTAAAAGACTGGGATACATATTAATTACACATTTGCTGACTTTCATGTTCAGTCTTGTTATTGAAGTCCTCAGGCTAACTGTGGATCTCGTTTCAGTTCTTCACTGGTTGGTGGATCATCATCGACGCAGCAGTGAAATATCCTGATGAAGGGGAGTTTCATCATGCGTATCACACTTGTGGAGTCATTGCTACTGTGGCCTTTCTCATGTAAGACATATTCTGCTAGTTTCTTCAGTTTGACAAAACATTTTCATCACAAGGTTCAATAATTTGGTGTTTCTTAAGCTTAAAGCCCCATCGTCAGGCCTTCCTCCACACATGGAGTTGCTCATTTGTCATGGTGATTATGTAGTTGTTGTCACCCTGTCTCTATTTAAAAATAGTCTCTGGTGTCAAATGTGGATGGCCACATAATTTTTTCACCAACTAAACCATCAACTGAGCAACTCCAGAGCCATGGCAAGGCAGAAGAAGAAGAATTACTGTATTAATACCTGGAGGGGAAATTAAATTTTTAGGCACAAGCAAAGGTCTGAAACACATACACACAGGACCCATAGACATGGAGTTTGAAAGAGATCCAAGAGTGATGGGGCTGCTCCCAAGCAGTTGTGGCTTGTTGCCTTGCTCTAGGGCGTCTTGGCAGTGCTCAGGGGGGTAATCGGCACCTCTCAAGCCACCCACACTCTGTACTTCCCAAGCCAGGTCCCTGACAGAGCTACAGAGACTTAGATGCTTCAGTTTGGGAGTTTCATACTGCCTATACATCTCACAATCTAAGGGACAGACATATCCAATAATTACCATGGGGTCTGTCAAGATAAGCAATCAGGTAAAATAACTTACTAAGTGGATTCTAATATATTTGTAATTTTTTTGTCTCATTTGACCCATCTAGGATAAATGCTGTTTCAAACGGCCAAGTGAGAGGAGACAGCTACAGTGAGGGCTGCATTGGACAGACAGGTGTGTATGATGGGATGCAATGAACTTCTCTATAATCTTAGTACATTTCCCCACAAACACTTAAAGGGGACCTATTGTGCTAATTTTCAGGTTCATACTTGTATTTTGGGTTTACATGCTGAAATGTTTAAAGAATAATCTATTTTCCTCATACTGTCTGTGGTAGAACACCTGTATTCATCCTCATTCTGAGACACTATGTTTTTAGTGCCTGTCTCTGTAATGCCAAAAAGGCCCAGTCTGCTCTGATTGGTCAGTGTTTTCAGGTCTTCTGCATCTGCACTCTTGGTGTCATGCACCAGAGAGCCGGGGAATGACGGTAATGAGAAACAGTGGCACATTCTACACTGAAAAATCACAAATAAAAGCTTCTAAACACAAGTGGAGCAGGAATATAATCAGAAATCAGGGAGAAATTAACAACACTGGCGACCAAGATCACATATTTCTCTGATGTTAGCATGTAGCTTTATGTAGCAGTGTAGGCTACATAATGTAAACACTTGCAACAACATACCTGTTGCAGATGACCATATAAAGAATTCTGTCAAGATCTGATGTCTGCTTGTCTTGAAAGTAGAAAGAACATTGGAAACATAGTATTCAGAATGTTCTGAAGCTTGACACACGTTTACCTTATTATTTGAAAGTTTGGCCATGTTTAAGGGAACAGTTTATCCATAAAGTTATCATTTGTATTTCGGCTAGTCATGCTATGTTACCTTGACTTTGTGAATAAAATAACATAAAACAGCAAACATATTGATTTATTGATTGATTGGGGACCATGCTTAAAAACATAACTATATCAAAACATCCGCTTACAAGCTTTCACACAATTTATTAAGTATAATCCAAGTGTCATTTATGCAGTCATATGCTCAGGACTTCCTAAACACATGGATTTTCAATAGAAGGGTACTAATTAAAACTGAATTGAAAATGAAAGTTATCTTTGCTCTCTTCAAAGCCAGACTTCACTTAATTTTGTGAAAATGTGTGTGTTTGGGAAGTGCTGAGCATACAACTTGATAAATGAGAAATTGCTGTTTCAATATAGTTTTTGTTGTTGTTAAACATGTTCCCCAATCAACCAATAAATCAATATGTTCACTGTTTTCCATGGAGACATGCAAAATATACAAAGTTCTTTCATGAATTCAAGGTAACACGGCATGACTTACTGATATACAAATTGCAATTTTGTAGAAGTATACCTTTAAAATGCACACCCCACATTGTAACATTCTATATGACCAAAAATAAGGAGAAGCATAGGTTCCCTTTAATTTTCTTAATTTCCCATTTATAATGATGCTTTGTTCACTGGATATTTTAATACTGTCACATCTGGTTTCTACTGTAGTCGTGCCCTAATTTAAGACTATGTCCTCGTATTACTATTACAGCATACATGCAGTAAAACACAAACCCATAACGATGCGTTGTTGTGGCATCACCCAGTAACGTACCCTTTCTTATCTCTGTTTGCAGGCGCCAGAGTCTGGCTCTTCATTGGCTTCATGCTAGCCTTTGGCTCCCTCATCGCCTCAATGTGGATTCTGTTTGGAGGATTTGTAGTGCCTCGTAAGGCCTGTTTTTTGACTTACTGTTCAGTAATAAGTTTTTGGGTGAGAAAGTGAGAGACTTTTTACAGTATTAAGCAACTTTGCAGTTCTTTGAAATTGGATTGCAGAGATGAAAGGGAAGCCAGTGTGATTTAGTAACTAATTATACACATGCTGTATGAAGTGAGCAAAATGTTGTACAGTACAATCATGAGCAACTCTTTATTGCAGCCTTATTTTGTAATCCCTTAAATCTGTTGTCTCTTGCAGAAAAGCCCATCGTGTACCCTGGTATCGCCATTTTCTTCCAAAATGCGTTCATCTTCTTTGGGTAAGTAAATGTCCCTCAGCAGTGTCTTACTTCAAACCCATGCTCACACTTCAACAGTTACTTTGTGGAAATCTTTTTCTTACATTATCTTCCTATCTCCTATTCAGGGGTTTGGTCTTCAAGTTCGGACGTACAGAGGATCTGTGGCAGTAGTGGAGTCTGTGTGTCTTCATGTTCACTGTTTATACACTCTGCTTTCTATATTGTACAACACAGTATGCTTTAGTGGTTATTCACTTTATATATAATACTTTTTTTAGCTTTCAAATTAACATGTTTAATTTATATTGTGTGCTGTATAATGGCTAAATCATAACTAAGCACAAGTTTTCCTTTAAAGTTTTGACTATTTTCAAATGTGGCACATCTCTAAATGTGTCTATTTGCACTCAGACAGTGTAGCCATGTTGTTGTAATGGTTTACAACTTGTGTTTAACAAAATGTGTATTTTGGGAGCTTTACTTCTCCGAACTGTCCACATTTACTTATTTTTATGACACCCTTTAATTTGAACAGTCTGTTAAGTGGGAACAACATAAATTATTGTGGTACAAAATATCATTGAGGGCAATATATCATATTACTGTACACATTAACTGAATGTATCCATATGGGGTTGTTTGTATTTTAATGAAAGAATTCTATGTCAGCTCTGAAACTTTGCAGTCATCCACATTTATTGGTAAAGGTTAAAAAGCTCACACTGCTGACATGACGTCAACAAAGGTTTCACGACTACATGGTATTATATGTGTACTGGAGGTTTGTATTTGACTGCAACGCTTATCATTTGCTCCTGTAACATCCAAACCATGAGGTCAGTTTCTGACGACCATGGCAGCATTAAACAGAAACATACTGGGCACTAAATGAGTCTGTATTCATGCTTTCACAGTTCAACGTTGATTTTTTTTTAATCCTAGTCTTGCACACATAAAAAACATCTAATAACTTGTATGAAATTATATACATTGATATGAATGCACACAAAAAAAAAAAATAGTTTGTACTTCCAGGATCAGACTTGATCTATTTCTTTTCCTGTCTTCTCATTTGCGCACAGCAAGATTGGGAAACTGCAAAACATGAAAACATTTTGTTCAGTTTTATGAATTTACCTTTCTTCACGTAATAGCACAACACAACATAATAAGTCAATTACTGTGCAGTATCATTATAGATAAGTAGATGAAGGCCCAATCCCAATGTCCCCCTTGTAAGGCCTTAAACACTGAACCCTCAGGGACCTAACACACATCATCTGGTAAATGTTTGAGTGCGAAAGGCTGCAAGGGTGTGAAATGTTACGGATAGGAATTGGACAGCTCTATGGCATGACATCACGTTACCTTGATGATACCAAAACATGTTATAATTGGTTTAACTGTGGATTTGGGACTTTTTATTTTATGTTTTTTACCTTCTTTACAGCTAAGGCACCTCATTGGTCAGTCCCTGATTTGAATGTCTCCCAGGCTCTTGCCTTACAGAGTGGACAGGAGCCAATTGTCAGATAATCATATTAGTCATTTTTGTCAAAACAGCATCATTAGGCGAAATCAAAAGAAATGCTTGATGAATAAACTAGGTATGTAACACAGCATTCCTCTGATTTCATGTGTTTTTTATGGGCCATCTGAAATCTCAATGTAGTGTTTCTGTGTAAATTTAATATGCCAGGCTTAACACCTATGTGCCAGTCTNTTTTTAATACTTCTTGGCTTTCCCTGGTAACCCCGTGTTATACTGTCGTAACGCGATGAATTGTGGGTTATTCCCTCAAGCAAAGCCTGCAGAAATGTGGGCTTTCGTAAAGTGCCTACAGGGCTCAACATGACTATGGGAGTGCCCTCACGCACTTCAAGATTTATCAGTGGGACAGCCCTAAACCCTCACACACTCTTGCAGGAATGTGCATCGATGTCTGTAAGTGTGGAGATTGGGATTAGGCCAAAGTCTTGATTGCCTACCTCCCAGAAAGCCTGATCATCAAAACATTTCTTGTTTTGGGGCATTCTCCAAAAGTTCCACTTCAGTAGGAGTCCTTGAAACAACGACATAAAAGTCATTTGGAAAGCTTATAAATGGTGAGCATACTTCATAATATGGTGACGATATAAATCTGTGGTTGTCGACCTCTATATTGTTGCACACTACAAAATGAGGTGACATCAGGTGCCCTCTGGATTTCAGTAAAATACTAAAAAACCTAAAGTAAGATATGTGTAGGGTCAAATTTCACTGATGATGGCATCCTGTTCCAACTAAATAATTCAAACTGGACCTTCTGTCTTCTAGTATGATTGTGCCAGACTGTTGATAATAGAAACATTACTGAAGAGACAATTTACCTGTAAGGATTCCCATTGACAGACTCAGAGTGATGGTGATGAGGAGAGTACAAATATGAAATACAGCAAACCGGATTGCCCTACGAAACAAAGGACAAATTACACAGACCATCACTGCTTTTGTGTGTTCCAACACAATCACACAGTTAACGTTCTTACGTTGTGTGATCGTCACAGTCTTTAATCTGTAGAAAGAGATGTGCCAGCCATCCCAGTAGACCAGGTAGTCCATGTGTGCTCAGGACAGCACAGGTGTCATGGCACTCAAATGCAAGCAGCATGTGGATCTGGAAAATAAGAACTTATGATGAGATGTGATATATAGATTAAGGGGTACATGTGTCCATGTGGTGATCCAAACCTTGAGGTATCGGAATCCAATGGTCGATACAAGAGCAGCAGTGAATCCGATTGTCATGGCTTCCCATGGCTGATGAATCGCGGACATGGAAACCCCAACAGCAACACCGCCAGCAAAGATGCATGACTGCATATGGATCTGACAAAAGAGTGACAATATATGCTACATTATCAATGAGATCTCATTACGTGAACTGATTGAGTTTTGTAGTGGCTCCTCTGGTACTTAAACAGGTACTCTTCAGCCAATAGTGACTCTGTTCCTGAAAGGGCATAATGTTGTCTTAACATATCAAGTGTCATACCGGGTTTAGTTTTCCCTTGGGGCTGGAGAGCACAGACACACCAGCTGCTGTTACAGCACTGACAGCCAGGGCCAGGTAGGTGCTGAGGACGGCTCCTAGCTTCTTCCCAGGAGCATGACTGTCCACAAGGATTGAATTAAAACTGGGCCAAAACATCCAGAGAAACACGATCCCTGGAGGACAGAGAATTCAGATTCTGCTTTAATAAGGTAGATGCTTTCTAATGCAGGGTTTAAACTTAACTCTCCAGTTGAACGATAGCTATCCCACTTACTGAACCATCCTACAAAAGCATATCTAGCAGTTACATCAGAAAACCATAGCCTAAACCTCACCCAACATGGAGAATAATCCTGTTTTGCGGTCGGATTTCTCTTTTTCAAATTGCTGCTCGGATCCTTTCCGATACAGCATCCAGGTCAGCATGAGTCCAAAGAAGGCCCCAAAGATGTGAAGCAGCATGATGCTGTTCAGAGACTGGGCCTTAGAGGTAGAAAACAGCATTATAAGCATATGCCTGGCCTGAGGTACTAATGTAAATGTGAAACACAGGATTTAAAGTTGCTTACACTCAGCAGAGTCTTTAGGAGCCATTCATTCAGGATAAACCCTGACACCTCCAGTAGGGCAATGAGGATGAGGTGGACAGGGTTAGTCTTCCCCAGCACAGCTCCAATTGAAATGAGGGCAGAGGCTGCACACATCTCAGCAACTACTAAGCTATATTCAGACATTATTATATTATTATTATAGTATTTTAGGTTTGTGATATGTTTACAATTTTGTTGATGTTTAATATTTTTATTTGCAATATATGCTATAGGACTGTATAAGGACAAATAGAGATCATTTGTGCAAACAAATGTGTGAAACCAGTTTAAAAAAATTGAAAAAAATGGCTGCCTCAACAGATGACCTACCTTCTCAAGTTTATCCTGATTTTTCCTCTGTAATACCAGGATTCAATTCCATTGAGTATTACTGCCCACTGGGTGGCCACGACAGCCACAAGGAGGTTGAATCCAGCGCTACTGAAACCATACCGCACTAGAAAAGTGCATAAGAAGCCAAAACCTAGAATCACCATCACATTCACATCCTGGAACTCTGCAAGAGAAAAGAAGTAGGTGTCAAAAAGTGTCAAACACTTGAATCACAATACAATATACGAAACAGATACCTTTACTGTGTCTCTGCATGCTTGCAGCCTAATTTTCAGGAAACAATCCAGGTCATCTGCTACTAAAGAACCAGTTGTATGAGCTTATCACTGACCAACAGCAATAACTGCAGCCCCTCCCCATGCTATTAGATCCTGGTATTATATTAATCTTTTTTTAAAGAACCTATATGCAGTATAGCTTAATTTTTTCACTGGTGAGTTATTCACCTGACCTTTCAACCCCAACTGTCCGCCCCCCCCCCCCCTTCCCAAACTACTTACCAGAGTAAAAGCTCCTGAAGGTAATTGCATCTACTTTTACATTGCTTTCGATCTCAGTGCAAAACGCATATATGACAATGAACCCTGTCTGCAGAAACAGCAGTAAAGGTGCCAGACGAGAGCGTAAGCTCGGTGCGTATTGAGGAGCCATTGGAGATGTTCCTTGCGCAGTGTGTACTTAACTTCCAACTGACGCATGTGTGGCCCAGGCGCTTTGAACAGGGTGCAACATCCTTCCGTTTTTATCAGCTGCTGGGCATGAACAGGTCTGTCGAGACCAGCAGGCCCAGCGGGATAAGCCGCCCCCCCTAAAAAAACAGGCCACTGTCGATTGGCACGAGACACAAGTTACAGTAGAGGAGAAATGGCAGAGCATATATCTTTTTTTTCATTAGATCACAATTCATAATTAATCTGGAATACATACAACTGTTTTTGATGTACACATTTCAATTTTTCACTAATTAAGACATGACTAGTTATCATGGGCTCACGACAAAACCAAATACAGCATCATTAGCCTATCATCTAGACTGTTAGCGTTAATAGGTTAATTGGCATCCTTAGAATATGTATGCCATAAAATACAATCACAAATTGCACCGCAAATGTGTATCAAATCGATTTGTATTGTTGCTACAAAAACTATTAAGGTCACTTTATTTTTGTCCATACATCTTTGAAACAAAATCTCATACGCTTTTATTTTTATCATGCTACTTTGTTATGGTCCTAAGGCAATGATTAACAAAAAGCCATGTAAAATTCATCATATTTTAAGCAACAACTGTAACCCACACTTTTTAGTCAAACACGCACACGCGCGTACACTATGCACACATTTTAACCTGGCAACAAACCATAGATGGCATACAAGGCCTTGGGGCATGTCTGTCAAAGACCCACACACAAAGGACCTGGTATAAATAACCTCCGTATGTCGGAATGGCTGTTCTTGTGTCTCGCACAAAGGGAATTTTGTCCCAAAGACCGCATTTTCTGCTCATCATAAACCAAAGCAAAAACCTCTGACCCCGCCTCCGTGATCAGCTCATTGGTCAATCGCTGCTGCCCGATTTGTCCACAAAGATCTGATTGGTTTAACGGCGAGACGTTGCACACACAGCGTCCCTCGCCTCCTCGCTCTCCCCTGTTGTCTTTGGCGGAGGAGGACTGAGCAACCGGCCACGGTGCAACGTAAATGGCTCTTCTCTGTATCCGTCAAAGAGAGAGGCCTCGGCGGATAGATTGATTGGATATACTAGCCGTCTGACAAGTGGACTTACGTAAAATACAGCGCGGTTTGGGCTTATTGAGTCTGCGCTAACAGAAAAAGAGGAGGTTCCCGAATAGAGTCCTTTATTTATTTCTTTGTTTCCAGTGAGGGAAAAATAATAACAGCGACATATACCACAGGCACTTCATTTATTATCTTTGTCCGTATACACAAGAAAACTGGATAAGATTACAGTGGTTACTCGAAGGCCAAAGCCAAGGGGAGGAGGATGAAGCGGCGCAATGCGGACTGCAGCAAACTCCGACGGCCGTTAAAACGGAACCGAATCACTGAGGGTATATACGGCAGGTAACTTATATGGAGCCTGACGAAGGGGTCTTCCTCACGACAATAATGGGGGGCACTCAGTGGGGATGCTGGCGGCTTGATAGCTGCAGAATGTGAAACTTCCTGACGCTACCATTGATGTCAATGAACTGCCACTGCTAGCTAGCTTATTAACCTAGCTAACTGCTAGTGATAGCGTAGTGTATTCTAGCGGTATGTTTTCGTTGTACATTAGCAGGTAACGTTAGCTGTTAAGCTAGCCATAGCGCTAGGCCCCAAAACAGCCTGTTTTGAACCTTGTCATAAGGTCTCTGTTACAACAACGCTACTGTTTGAAATACGTTGTAGTGGATTTTTGGGCACTAATTAAATAACCCTGACTAGCTACCTTTGCCCACTTTAGTTGTCATTTGCGAGCGGCATCATATTTACTCGCTTCCCTGTTAACTAAGGTAACTTCTGTTAGCTAGCACAACAGCAGCTTTGCTGCTCGTTTCTAACTTCACCACATGCGCCTGCTTATCCAGTAATAGCTTAACACATGTTAACATTAACTGTAGACATGGCCTGATAAGACTGTAGTCTGTTTGTTTGACTTCTGAAGACCTTGTGTGGCATTACCCAGATAACTTATAGTTACTTAATTTTCCTTCACAGTCACACCTGACAGGTTCCACTTCTATGTGACTTCCTACATATCTGATAAACCAAACGTTAAAGGCCACTCGTTACACACGTGGCACCTAGACATAGAGATGTGGGGCAGTTCTTGAATTATTGAACAGCTTGCCCACCACAACACAACAGTCATGCTTTGAGATCAAAGAACACCCCTACTGTGTTACTTTCAGGTCTAAGTACTGTAAGACAAAAATGTCAGCTGCGATCATATACATCTATTTTATTAAACTGACATGAATTGTGGCTCCAGGAAAGAACCAGCAACGAATTGCAACATTCTGTGTTTATGTGTGATCTCCACAACCCTTGAGAAATTCACACGCTGTAGTTTGGCACCATTGCCATGTGCAAATGTTTAATGCAGCACCACATAAGAACATGTCAAAGTGCAGACATAGACGTCTCCAGAATGTTTTCACAAGTCTCATAAATTTTGGTGTACTTGTTCTGTTTGAGGAGTTGCATTTTACAACGTCAGCTGCTTAGAGTAAGTGCAGTGTGCACAGGCATTTCATCTGTCAAGCAGCAGCAATAGGCTCCAGACATGCATCTTACACTTGATTCACACACACCCACACATACACTTAGAATAAAGCTGAATCTCTTTTGAAGTATGATGATTTGCAATATATACTCACTGTAAGGGGCAAATATAGGCACCATTCTTAATAACACAAATCACATTATTATTAAAAAAACACTGTGTAATACTGTGTTTAATTTGTTTTCCAGAACATCTTATGTAATCCAATTTTTCTAATTTTTAGTACCTTCCTGTACCTGAAGTTCCTGGTGGTGTGGGCGCTGGTGCTACTGGCAGACTTTGTTTTGGAGTTCAGATTTGAGTACCTCTGGCCATTCTGGCTCTTCATCCGGAGCGTGTACGACTCCTTTAGATACCAGGGGCTGGTGAGTGGCAATGTCTTTGTATTTATAATGATTTATAAGTGAATAAAGAATATAGCCCTTTTCAACCTTTTTTTCTCTGTTCACCACTCAACGTGCAGAGGTTGCACTAAATAAACAATACAGACGCGCTTTAATTATGGACTTCATTTATCATCCTGTTAAGATTTTTCCAGTGAGATGTCTTCAGCACAGTAACGCTGCTGTGACACTTGCTGTATTGACATGTGAAATTAAGAAACCAGGTTATTGCTTCTTTTCTGTGGTAGCTTTATCTCTTAAATGTCATGTGAACAAGAAGTTAACAGTAGCTAGACCTCAGTGTGATGCAGTAAAATGAAAGATTTGTACACGTAGTGGTGCATCTTTGTATCCAAAGTAATTAAATCCAAAATTAGACTAAATTTGAAAAGTAAAAATTCTAAATATTGTTATTTATTTGCCTTAGACGAACTGTTAATGGTTATTTGTAAAATATGGACACATGCATACAGTAAGACAAAAGTGTTTCTCACACTAGAGCACCTGTATTATCACTGCATCGTCAGTCCACATGTTTTGACCTAAATGTAAACAGCTTAATGCAGTGGCATTATTTGTCAGTTATAAACTAGAGATATGTAAGCTTTGATTCAAAGATGTGATTTCTTGTCTCACCTGATTCCTCCTATTAATCAGATTTCTTGTATGCATGTTAATATAATCAGTTACATAGTTAGCAAGATGAACAGTGATACTACAGAATAAAAGTCAGATGATATCCTTTTAGAATCATAGAATAACTGACAAGATAGTAACATTGATTCTGAGATAGCCAAACCCAAACAAAATGAGAAGAATCTTTTGAGGGACTTGGGAGGTGACCAGGGATGATAAACTGGAGAGAGCAGCTCTAAATATCAGAGAGTGCTGCTGCAGGTGTACAAAGGATAATGCATTTCAGATAAAACAAATCTGATCCTTCAGTCAGTTTGCTGTTAGTTCAGTTGAGTTCTACTACATTCTCAAAACTGACAAATTGTTTTTCATCGTTATCTTGTTTGCTGCCTCCTAGGATCACAACTCTAATCTGACATAATATGCAAACTACAGATCTGATCAGGCTTGCGAGTCATTCATTTTCTTGTCGATCTAAATTTTGTATGCTTATCATAGTTTTATTTTGCTCTGGGTCCATTATTGAAGCCGTGCAGCTCGTTCTTGAAATGCATTGTGTAGGTGTGTGTTTGTTGGTATGTCTGTCTCTCACAGAGATGCAAAAAAAGGGAGAACCAAAAATGTAATATTTGCATAACCTTTCGTGATAGAATTCATCAATGAAATATAAAGCAAAATCGCTCTCATTATAAGGGACTATATGGCAGCTAACCCTTCTGTGAACATCTTCAGGCTGGTTGTTAGCCTGTAAATATTTCCCTTTTGAGGGAATGCTTTAGGTTTGAGCATGAAATACTAATGTGTAAAAACAACCTACATCTTTCCTTGCTGCACATGATGCTGGTGTATCATAACCACCTCTCCTCTCCCCAACAGGCCTTTTCAGTATTCTTTGTGTGTGTGGCGTTTACCTCGGACATCATTTGCCTCCTCTTCATCCCAGTGCAATGGCTATTCTTCGCTGCCAGTACCTATGTGTGGGTGCAGTATGTTTGGCACACAGGTAAGGCCCCTCCAATGTATTATAGGTGTTTTGATATTTGTTAGTATAAATGCTGCATATGAGAAATTGGAAAAGGCCAGTGATGAACTTGGTTCCTGCTGTAACATTAGTCATATTTGTCTCTACATTAGTTCTATTTAACAATGCAAACAAAAGAAGGAAGGAAGCGGTTTTCTGTGTATTCCCACGATACACGGATAAATAATTCTTATAAGTCGTAGGCCACACTGATTCTTAGAACTTGCACTATTTTATGTCGCTCATCTACTTAGTGCTTCAGGGAAAAGCAGGTGTGAAAAGCGTTGTGCAATACCCATGCGTACTGTGTTATCTTATTTACAAATAATTGGCTTGCTTCGTAGAATTTTGCATGCTGAGTGTAAGTGAGCTGCACTCTGCGGATTAGTTGTCAGTCTGATTTAGCGGTATCCCCCTGCGTTGACCAAAGGCCAGGTGTCAGATGGAAATCCTAGTGCCAGCTGGGGGAGGGAGAAACACGGAGTGGTCCCCAGTTGCTTTTTGAGCCTTCCAACTTCACTCACCAGTGACATTCACTGTAAGAGTATTAATATCACTTACCACTCCACAACCTGCTAGTGACAGTGTCTTGCAGTTTATTGAAGCCAC